ACAGTAGCTTATTTTAAAAAGTAAATGGGAATGAAGGGCTTGACTAGACAAGACTGCTACTACAGGTAGGAGACCCTATTGTGTTTGGTCAGTGAAGTGGTTAAATGTTAATGGAGACCTTGCCTGCATCCTTCAGTATTTATGTGCACACACAGAGATAGAACGCATCATATTCAGATCTATTTAAAACTTTTTCCTACAGTTCCTATTGTGAAAGTAATTGTTTTGGGGGTTTTCCACAATGGAAAGCAGTGCAGGTTCATTTTGGATTATTCAAAGCAATTTATCTCATATTAGAAAAGAAACAATAACTTTCTGCATGTTTATCTGTTTTTTTGCCGACTTAGAATGACTCCAGATCATACAACGCATTCCCTGTTTTTTAGGGGATCAATACCAATTTTGCCTGTGAGCTGGAAGACTATTTTCAGGATGATAACATGGGTATAAAACAGAAAATAGTTTCCCATTGTGAATAAAAACAAGTACATGAAAAAAATGTTTATCCCTGGCTAAGATCCCTTCTCCCACTCACAAAAGTATCCCTATTCTGTTGACCTATGGGAAGGAAAAACACCTCTTGGCTTGACTATCTGCAATATTAGTAGAAGAAATGTAATATCCATGATGAACAGTGTGAAATACACTGAGCATTGTCCTATTTAATGTGATGTTCTCCACTGACACCAAAGGCTTGAATGCCTTGGTTCATTATCCAAACTATTATTTTGATTAGGTTCTATGTGGGCTATAGAAAACAACAGCTAAAATGGGCATAAACTGAAGGAGAGAATTCTCACTATACTAACCAGAAATAGGGAATACACAAGTATTGTCACTTCTTACAGCACAAATTTGAGGACCAGAAGAGGTTTTCCTTGTGGATGACAGTGAGAGGAAGGGGCACTAGTTCGAACCTTTTCAACAGAGTTGCTAACAGAGGTCCCTGAAGTGCTTTTGGAAATACCTTTGCATTGATAGAAAAAGAAGTGAGAAGACTTGATTTTTAAACATCTCTAGGCTGAAATTCTGCCCTTGTTAAAATCAGTTAACATTTTCCCACTGATTTCAACAAAACTCCATTTCTAATACACATAATCACACTAGAAACTGATCTCTTTTGCAGTCCTGGTATAGTTGCATCAAGGAATTTGACAAAGTCTGACAAAGCACCAGAGGCTGAAGGGAACTGTGATCAGAGATATAAGTTAAGTTCACCAACTCCCAAGTCTCCAAAAGTACCTTTGAGCCATATGGAGTTCAGAAAGCTCAGTCCCCTACCAGACCCATCCCACATGCAGTTATTTCCTGCGTGCAAGAGGAGGCTGTACAATCTGATTATTTTCTTAAAACCAGTCACATGTCCCTAAATTGAGCATATAGGCATGTGAGCATCCCAATAGAAGGAAACTCTAAAAGAAATCATCACAGCTTTCTAGGAAAATCAAAGAAACAGTTTTTATATTTCATATGTTATTCTTAGATGGCCCAAATTTATATTTGGATGCCTAAACTACTCACTTAAAATCACATCTGTGTTCCTACCCATTTGAGACAATTAGATGATGATTTAGGTGCCTGCTAGTGACTTTGGTGACAAAGCTTTCTGTAATAGCTTCTCAGGTTTAAAGAGTTTCTTACAGCTAAAAGTATGAGAAAAGGAATTGTAAAAAGTTGACAAACACATCATGATACCCAATTTAAACCCTTGCATGGGAAACTCAGAAGAAAGGTCATGATTCTGAAACAAGGAAACACCTGTACTTCCAAGTAATTGGGAATAAGTAAAAGGAGGAACCACCCCTAATTGGGCATCTAATGTAGTTGTTTGGGAAAACCATGCAGTTTTTATCAGCCAGCATGCACTAGAGACTTCACATGGATTTTCTTTAACATGGCTCTTTCTGGTACCTTTTCTTACAGATTACTACTAATGGATTCTCTCACAACTAAAATAGTTTCCAGAAGGATGAAAGTGAGGGAAAAAAGCAAACTATGTAATTTTCTTTTTTTTCCCCATGTTTCTTATAAGTAACAAGGATACCTCCACCTTGAAGTCTGTTACCTCTGATTATTAGCACTTTTTGCAGACATAATCATCTCATGTGTTAGCAGTTCAATACTAAAGGCACACATGCCCAGGGTTACAGCACTCTCCGTATGAGGCCATGCATCCTCAGCACAAAAGTAAAAAATTAGCCTAGCCAAGTCCATTAAGTTTAATGTATCAGGTAGGGCTAAATACTCTGAAAGCCATACTGAAAATAAATCCTTAGGCCTATGAACTAAAAGACACAATCTTCCCAGAGCTAACTTGGCAGTCACTATTATGTGGAGGTTTCAGACACTTGTTATGCGTGACAGTTACGATGGCTGTATTGTATCACAAGGCTTCAGATGCACTGCTCAGGTGTAGCTATATAAAATGTTGCATGACTCCCTGTATTCAGCCAAGAATGGAGTCTACAACTAAGATGGGTGCCACACCCACCCACCACAGAAATGAGATCTAGAGAATTAAATTAAACTTGGAATGACAATAAGCTCACAGTCTTGGTCAGTGCCTTGAAAGAATGAGTAGTCTCATGGACTAAGTAGAGCCCAAAGCAGCTGGTATAATAAATTTTACTACACTGCAGTAAGAATGATAAATGAATTCACTAGTTTATGCTTCACCCTATTCCAAGGTCACCAGATTTCCTTCAGCAAAAACAAGCTATGGATTGTTGTCGCAATCATAAAGCGGGCTCAGCAATAAAGTACTCTGCCACATTTCACTCTACTATGGCTGTGCTTGGTACCAGCCCCTGAACTGTCTTCCAGAGTCATATATGTAATGTCATCTACAGCATCCCGTATCCCAGTGCAGTGCAGATGGTGACAAACTGTACAACAATTAGGTACAGCTTAATTTCCATGCTATTCTTAAAAAAACAAGAAATCTGAGGATATGCCACTACAGAACAAACAGTTCTGAAGGTTAGATTTTCAGAGGTATTTCAGTACCTAAATATGCAAATAATCAACTGGTAGGATTTTCAGAAGCGTCTCGAGCACTTAATCTACTTTTGAAGACCTAGCCCTACCTTCTTTTCATATTGAGATCCAGAGGAGTTTGTAGTGGGAAGCTAACTAGCTTTTTGATGTGGTTTTAAATTATCCTGTGCTTTCTATGGTACAACACTAGGTAGATAGTTAGAAGATGGCGTAATTTTATTACTTTAACTTGAAAATTTCTGTCTGCCTTGTCTTCCAAACCATGCAAGTTCCTTACCAGCCCTGTTCAGGTATGTTTTATTTTCACTTTCTTTTAATTTACTCTACTACATAGGCCAGAGGGAGCACTGAAGAAGAGGTAAAGAAGCAATCTTTACTAGGTCCCTTCATGACACAACCTACAATAGTAACACCACGATGATATAAATTAATCATCATGGAAGTCTAGTCACACAACCCATAACAAACTATTTATACTTTAATCTTACGTTCTTTTTCAGCTAGAAAGAGCAGTTGAAGTACACTGTGGAAATCAGTTGATAGTAGCTGAATTAAAGGAAATTAATTTATGTGACCTAAAAAATCTTTTCTACCTCTGGTTTCCATCATGTAGGAGTTATCAATAGTAGTTAGAAAGATTCTCCCTTCAGTCCCCAACTGCAACGCTACAATTTGGGAGCGTATTTTAGGTTACACAAATTATTATTGGCAGACAATGAAATATGCAGTTTAGAACCAAACAGTAGAAATGAAAAGAATTAATGTGTCAAACACTACTTTGGACTGCCTTTAGTATATGCTCTTGCTAAGATGGCTTCAACAAAATAATTTCTCTTCAGAAACACAAATCAGAGTACAATTGATTGAATTTCAAAATATCTCCAAGGACTTATTCCATCATCCCTCATTCAAAACTTTGGATTCCTTTAGGATTTACATCACAATGTACCTTCTCATGGTAAGGCTATAGAAGAGAAGTTGATTGCATTCAACTCTGTAAGTCAAAATACTTTACATAAACTTTGTATTATCATTAATTTAGATGCTTAGTATACAGTGTACAAATACAAATCCTTCTGCAGCACTCAGAACAGCATTATCTGAAGCGACATCAGTTATTCATGACTTGTAATCTTCAGTATGATTTAATATAAATTTACCCCTTTCTAGACACTGTAAGATTTCATATCAAGTACAGGAGAAACTGATTCCAAACCAGTTAAGGGAAATAAACGGCAAGTGCTATGATCATCACATGGTTTCTTACCACATTCATCTGATAATCATGACAAAGATCATCTTTTTATATGCAGTCTGAAGGAGAATTAGGAAAGTAACCGTTCCTATATCTACATCTTCAATATCACAGTTTGGTCCCAAAGACATTAAGAAACTTGCTTTGAGAAAATACTACTTTGCTGAAGTCTGTCTTCTTTCATCCGTCTTTGATCCTTATCCTGCTTAGAATTAATAAATTTATGAAAGGCAACTCTTACCTCTTTAATAATAATTTCCTTGCGATATACTCCTCATTATAAGGAGAAATTACATACAACACAGCAGATGGAAGTAAAAGTCTACAGATTAGATTTTACAATATATTACAAATGCCTTTCTGTGTGTCAGCATACTCTTTACTGAAAAGGTTTTCATCACTTCCATTGTGCTGATAAGGTAGATTTTTTTTTTATGATATATGGAAAACTTTTAAAGAACTATGTGCAATGTCATGTCTCTATCCATTGCTGAAGGATATAAACCTTTACTTACTGTTTAAAATCACTCAATTAAAAAACCTACTGTATAAAATGACTCAACCCAGTTAACTCATTCATCTCTTTTTATGCGTATCCCAATTAGTCGTAACAGTTACAAATTGCAACATAATTGCAATAGACTTCTGACTTCCCAAAGCAGTTATGCTAGGATTTAAGTTGTTCTCTATGATTTCTAAAGGGGTAGAAAGATGGGTTACAGAGAAGAGAAAAGAAAACCACAGGTACCTGATCCAGTTTCCAGTGGAACTCTGCAGGACGAAAGGTGTCAGCCTGATCAAAGTCTTTGCGCAACAGAAACACTAATCGGCAGTTGTGCACGTACAGGGCATAGTGATGCCGGTTCATCTCTGAAAGGAGAGACCGATAAGATCAGTGATCTGAACTATCATCAACACTTCTGTTTAGGTGAATGTGTTTGAAAACAATATATACCTAAAATACAAAAACCAACCAACTGAAAAACCCCAAAAGTATTGACTTCTCCCAAAACCATGGATCATTATGGTTCTGGGGGAAACCAGATATGCTAGGCATCTTCCTGAACTATAGAAGCATTAAGTCCAAACTAATAAATAAAATCCAAATCAATATTTAATATAACTAGTTTCAATGAAGAATTACAACTGTTTTCCCAATCTAAATAATTAAAAAATTAAACCAGTTCCTATAAAATCTACAGATGTATTCACAGAGGTTATCCATGAAGACAAGTGCTTGAAATTTAGTCAGTCATCAGTCCTGTCAATAAGCTATCAAGTCAGCAATGCTTAGAGTGGCACCATCTGACCTTAGTAACTTTTTTTTTTGAGATCAAATTAAATGAGGAGAGATGGTAACTCTACTAGCTTTGTTACGCCCTTTGCCTAACATTTTTTCAACACACAGACTCACCGGTCTTGTCAGAGTTGCAGAGAATAGTCTCTTTCTCAGCTCTTAATCCTGGACTAGGTCCATGCTTCATCCACAGACTGATGGTGAATTGATCAGTTAAATTCTTTGGGACTATTCCATCTGGGATTTTGGCCCCTTGCTTTCCATCAAATTTAAAAATCATGTCATTGTTATCCATGAGAAGCCCAGCTGTCCAGTTAGTTGCTGCACTGGGAGATGGTAACAAGTCAATAGCACCTGAGGAAGCTCCTGCAAATGATATGCAATGAATAACGTGATAAGAGACTAATGAAAAAGCTGTGAAGATTAATTTAATACAGGCCAGGGTTATGATTCACAATCTTTAGATTATTTTTACTACCCAAATGGTCCTACTAGCTTCACTGTCAAATCATATACACATTATAAAATATTGACCATAGTAAACCAGCAAGAGTTCTCAAGATTAAATGTATTGCACAGGAAACTATAGAAAGTATTTTAAAGTTTTCTTTCTCGAAACTTCTCATTATTTTCTAAAATTCATTAATGACATTTCTTCAGTTATTTCAAGAACTGCTAAAACTAAACCCAGATTCTCTACATCCAGCTGGGAAGCTTTACGTCGTCTCTCCCTGAGAGCATGAAGATATATGGTATGTGGGGAAGATATGTTGCAGAATAGAGTACAGTGGGGATGAATGTAGGACAAGTCACCTAACGTCCAGTAGACAGCCAAGGACATTCCCAGTACAGTTGGTATGAATGGCAATACATACACAGTATGCACCCTAGAACAGATAATATCTCCTTAATGACAGCTTCTGGCAGACACATGACAGTTGTAACTCCATGTGTTCTCGTCTAATGATAAATCTAAGACTTTTAAGTGGTACTCACAATTCAGGTTAGTGCCCCCACTCCCCCAACCCAAAACTAAATCATTAACAAAGTGGTCCCTAGCTACACAGTATTTGTTTATTAGAATTAATTGGGAAAAAAACAGAAACAATATGGTGCCAGGACCTGATAAAATAGCACAGTTCTTTACAGCTCTGTCTTTTCTTACAGCCTAACAACTGTCAGGCACTTTTCAAAACATGTAATGAGCTACCCAGAGCCTTTACACAGCTGGTAAAGTATAGCATTTAGCAGAAAGTATGCTTCCCAGACTAAAAAGCACAATCTTTGCATTCTTGTTGATGCATTGTCAAGTAAGAGTATCGTTAACAAACTACAGCTTCATAAAAATACCCACACTAGTAAGATATCCTACCCTCCTTCAGCATTCAAGGAGAGAGAAAAGATCCCAACTCTCTGCAGGAGTGTAGAACTTTAAGCCAAGAATGTGTGGGATTATATCGTACAGATTTTTAAAAAAGTATTATAGTAACGATATGAAAATATTCATGTAATTCAGTAACTGAATTTCTTAGACAATTCTCCAAAATTTATTATGGTAAAATGAGGTTATTTTAAAGTGATAGTACTATCAAAGCTAACACCTACATGTTTAGAATTTGAGCACAGAGACAAAGTATATTTATTTTATAAGTTGTAATTCTGGATAATAGACCACACTGCATTGCTTAATACACAGATGTTAGCGACAGGAATATACCAAACTCAATTTATTCAGATGGCACAATTTGTGATAAACTTTCTTTTTTTTTTTTTTTTTTTTCTTTTTTAATTCAAGCCACTAAAAAATAAAATTACTTGCACGGGACACAAATAGAACCATAATTTTCTCAATCAATTTCCTTTTGTGTTAATTGTTATGTTAATCTTTTAAACTTACAGAAGAAACAGACACTGTTTGCACTGTGGTGTATATTGAAGGAAATATACTTTTAAATGGGCACATGCTTATATTAGGTAAATTATAGGCTCAAAGAAGCAGCTTCATCCCTCCCTCAATCTACTCTGGACATAAAAATGGGAAATATCTATTTTTTCCACTAGAAAAAAATCTGTGGGAAAACTCCAAAATGGAAGTCTCTCATATTGCTTGTAAAACTCTGATCCAGCAAGATCCTCAAGTAAACTACCTTATTTACCCAACTTAAGGTCAGGCTTGTGTAAGAGCATTTGGGTAATCAGTACCATGCTCAACAGGTTCTATTTTATCTGCCCATATTTTTATGGAGATTTGTGGGTTACTTTGGAACCTCATCCTGTTAGCATGTGTTAATCCTGTCCTGAGAACAACTATTGGATTATGTGCTTGGGAGATTTAGCAGGAAGAAATCATATTGTTTCAATCCTAATAAATCTAACCAGCATCCCAAACTGCTCAGGCGCATACATACACAGACCTGGCGCAATACAAACAGGATGTATCTGGAGGTATTCCCAAAAGTCTTGCCATGCTACTGGATCAGTGCCCTTCCAAAATGTAGAAGCTGATGCCCTTTTATTCTAAAATGCTTCCAGAATAATGCAGGAGCCACTGCATTAAGCACAGTTTTGCACTGACACCCCCTGAGGCACCCCTTGCATATGAAGGTGTTTGTTTTCACAAGCAACTTAACAGATTTGGCCCTACTTCCTCTCCCCACCCTGCATGTTCGTGCTGCAGACTTTGTGCCAGGATGCTGCTTGCTGAATTGGTCCAGACTGTTGGCTTAGCTGGAAGCTAACTGTCCAAATACAACCAAGCCCAAATTACTACTTCAAACAGATCAACAATTTTCTTTGAGCATCCTGCAAACCCACACAACCCAGGATGAGAGATAAAGGCCCTCTTAGCTGGAGCATCGCCTTGAATCTGATACTCAGTGTTTCCATATTTCAGTTTCCCATCTGCCATATGTGAGACTTAGCAATCCCATTAATTTCTATTTTATCTACACTTAGAGGGAGAGAAGACAACACCATAGCCATCTTTCCACCACATTCTAGGCTCCTTAACTGAGTATTTTTTTTTTAGTGAGATTTATTCTGGGTATGTTCTTGCCGTCCAAATTGTGTCTTTTATAAATTCTTTATTTTTTATTATTGTCAGATGACAAGGTGAAAAAATGCTTACTAAAATGCTTTGAGGCACAACACTAATAACTCCTTGACTTTAAAATGACTCAAGCATAATTTAATCATTTAAACTGCCCACCTTGACTGTCAAAGTGAGTACAAATCACTGGGTTATTAAAAAGCAGACTTAAACCATCAGTCATATAAAAAATTAATTTTAATGTACTGTTCTTAGCATCAGAATTCTCTAAATTTCCAACAGATGAATTAAGAAATGAGCACAGGATTTATAAACTGTGTCCTTAGTTATGGAGAGACAATCTTGCATTTTATATGGCACAGATGACTATTTGTCTGTGATCATTCAGTTCAGCACTCTGCAATCGTACAGTGCTTTACTGGTATAAAAAAAAAAATAAGGGTTTTCTTCCTTTTCAAAGAATTTATTTATCCAACTATTAGATACAATAAGGTAATTTCTGGGAGAAAACGGACTTCTAGAAATATTTTAACCTGTTTTCACAAGAGTTCTCTCTACATTAGGGATGGTAATAAATACTAAATACCAAAGTGTAAGCCAGTCCAAATGCAGTTCTGATGTAAAGTTCAATGTAATTTCCAACCATTTTATCAAAGTCTGATTACAAGTTTCAACTCTACCTGTTCTCTATGAAGATATGGTAACCTTGGAGAAGAAAAAATACTCTTTCAGCAGTGAGATTTTTTTTTCCCCCCACTTACATACACTTTTTACAATCTAACTATTTTCTCAAGTGCTTACATTCTGTTCTTTCACAGATGTTCTGAGTGAAAACTAGAAGTTAAGCAGCAATGTTAGACAGCACATCTGTCCACCTGCTCAAAGACTGCCTGCAACTACTACAATGGTCTTGACAGATCTGCTGAAATGTTTCTGATGATTCTGCTTTTCACCAGCTTAAACCTAACACATGGTGCAGACAATGAATTAAGATTGGACTAGTATTGGGAAACATCTAGTTTATTCAGGAGAAAAATAAAAATACTTTAAATTATCTTTTCTACTGCTTAATTGTCAGCAGGTAAGGTAGTCAAGCCACACTGCAAACAACCCCTTAGACTTTGCAAAGCCTTCCTCAACTAAGGAACTTTATATACCAGCAGAAGGTACCTACTTTCAGTCCTACACTTATAATATTGTTGGATATAGTTGCAATTAGTGGTTTATGTCAATGTTATCATTTGGTGGTTTAGATCTTGTAACATAGTGGTCTGCTCTGAATAACTGTGCCATTTGCACTTTAAGTCAGAGGCATAAAGCAATGTTCTTTTTGCTGTCAATACAGGTTCTTAGAGAAGGCAAAGTACTTGACTTCAGCTATAACATATTTATTTTTACTAAAATGTTAGTATTTTATGAAATCAAATCCCCAATAGGTCACATAGCCTTGCTCAACCTCTCAGTTTTAATGTCATGATAAAGATGCGTACTGCTGGCAGATGGGTTTCTCCTGCTTTTCTAAGATCTTGGTCAGTTGGATAAAGATACAGGATCAAAAATATGATTGTTTCTGTAATCTTAACTAAGCAATTTTCAAGTTGAAAATATTCAGATTTTATGAGAATGCTACTACTCCCAATCACCTTTAGCTCACTTTCCCAATCTCCACAGGTAATAGGAAACTGCAAACTTTTTCCCTGGGAACTGGCTCTCCATTTTTAATAACTTGGTAACGTTGGCTGAAAATTTTCATTTATAAAATTATTTCTCAAAGGTTATCGTATTGATCTTAGCATATCTACAACACTGTTGTGGGGCAATCAAAGCAAATGTAAGCCATACACCAGAGCACCTCAAACCAAAATCTATGCATTTAAGTGGAGAAAAAAAGTACATTTACTGCTGCAGCTCAGACAGGAGCCAGGTAAAGAGACATTTTGAAGAAGATGAGAATCAATGTTCCACACCATCAGGGTGTCAAATGAGGACTCTAAGAAGGCAGGATTTAAGAAGAGGACAAGAGACGGCAGATCGTAAAATTCAAATGATAAATGGCTTAATGTGCGGCCATTGCTTTGCCATACACATTATCTTAAAGTCACAAAAATACAGCACTATCCTCAAGTATTTAATCTACATTTCAAAATTAATTTGTATTTTCTAGACCGAGTTATCAAAAAGCAGGAAAAGGGAAGAGAATAATTAGGAAAACTTTCTCCTCTAGGATATCTCTTTTCTGAAATTAATTTTTCTTAAATATTTTTGCTCAAATGATTGCCCCAAATGTTCCTTTACTTTTTATTTGTTTTTACTCTGGCACAGCACTTATCAGCAGAACAGAAAGTTGAGTCAGGAAGACTGAAACACAAGATGGAGATTCAATTTTCATCAAATCCTATACACTTCCTATGATGGCAAATCTATACCCAAAATCTCACTACACTGTTACACCAGCATTAGTAGCAGGGGGGAATAAAGAGTGAGAAAGAGGTGGAATGAGGAAAGAGTAAAAATAGAGAAGGGAAAAGGAGCAGAAGAGAAAAAAAAATAAAGCAGGGGGAAGGAAAAGAAGAACGGAGCACCAGCCAAATATCACCACTCCCCTCATTTTCACTGCTACTATCCAAAATGAACCAGCTTAGCTAAATGCACATATCACATGCTTACAGGTCATGAGAAACTGGTGCTTTATGTAGAAAAATATTATTATATCAAGTGAAAGCTATATTCATACCACATAATTTCTGCAGAGATTTTTCTGAGTATGTTTCACGATCACAGCCCTTTCCAATGTAATTGGTCTGTAATTCAATGGTGGTATGTATTGAGGAAACCGGTCCATCACACGTTTCTAGATGAATGCTGGGAAACAAAGGTATGCTGCCAGAACCAGGCTTGTATTCAATCCGTGTGTTCCAGTCTGGAAAAAAAAAACCAAAACCAAACAAACAAAAAAAAAAAAAAAAAAAAAAAGATCCAAGAGTGACTAAAAAAGGAAAGGGAGTTCTATAATTTTAAATAACACATTTTTCTCAAAGGTCACTGTTTAAGACAAAAATAACAGTTTTTGAACTTGGCACCAGTAAGTTCCTCTCCTAAAAAAATTTGATTTTGCCCCTTTTTGTACAAAAGCATCAGGGTCAATTAAGTAATACTACTGTTCCTAAAGTCACACAGGCATGAGGTACATACATGTCCTGACAAGAAGTGCTAATTGGTGTCAGTCTGGATCTCCAACGTACATGTCCATGTGACAGACTAGAAGCTTGCTCGAGAGGCACGAGACTGTCTGCTGCACTGAATATGGACAGATTTCACAGTTTTGTGATACAGAATAAATATCTCCAAAGACCGGGCTATATACATCAGTCTCACTGGATTGTGACCAAGAGCTAATATAATACACCTGTAGTGCTGCTTCTTGTCTTCAAAATCTCTTACTAATTTTATGAAGTATTAATGACAGACAGTTCCAGCTGAAAACTATTCACGCTTTCAGCCAGATCTGACTAATCTGTGGTTTTGCTTATGCCCATGTCTCACAGCCCACAACATTTAAGCAATCACCTGCCTTAGGCAGCCACCTGCACAAGCCATACATATCACTATGCTTCTCAAATGAAGCATTTAATTTTTAAATCCAATTAATTATGGTGTTTGCAACCTGCTTCAGAGAAAACCCAAACAAGCAGCAATAATTAAAAACATGTATTTCAGCTACCTTCACAGTTTATATTTTCATACAATCATAGAATGGTTTGAGACCACCCAGTCCCAACCCCCCTGCCCCGGGCAGGGCCCCCTTCCCCCAGCCCAGGGGGCTCCCAGCCCCGTCCAACCTGGCCTTGAACCCTTCCAGGGAGGGGGCAGCCACAGCTGCTCTGGGCACCCTGGGCCAGCGCCTCACCCCCCGCACAGGGAAGAATTTCTTCTTTATATCCAATCTAAATCTACTCTCTTTCAGTTTAAAACTGTTAGCTCTTGCCCTGTCACTACAGGCCTCAGTAAAAAGTTTCTCTCTGTCTTTCTTATAAGCCCACCTAAAGTACTGAAAGGCCACTATAAGGTCTCCCCAGATCCTTCTCTTCTCCAGGTTGAACAACCCCAGCTCTCCCAGTTTTTCTTCACAGGAGAGATGTTCCAGCCCTTTGGCCATTTTTATGGTCCTCCTGCTTCTCATTGCTCTAACAGTTTCATGTCTTTTTCATACATTTTAGCCAACTCCAGCCAAGTTACCATGCAACATAAATAAAAATGCCACATTAATACAGAGATGCAAATAGTTCATTATTCTGAAGTCACAAAACTACTCAACTTTGCTACCTAATGTATACATCTCTGTATCTGTAAAATCTGACAGAAGTACTCTTGCATACACAGATGAAGTTTCTCTTCTTTTAGTCCTAGGTATAGGAGACTCAAAAATTGAAAAAATATTGGTCCTAGCAGTCAAATATCTTAAAGCAAATGGACAGAGACATACTTTCTAAGTATCTGTGGAAGGAAAAGTAATATATATTTTTTTATATCTCTCTCTATATATGTGCTCACTTAGTAGGCGAAGGAGCTTGGCAATTTTCAACACACTTTGTTTTCAGAAAGCTTGAAAAAACGTGCTCTCTCCCACCATCTTAAACTGGATTAAAAATTTACAAGAAAATCTTAAGTTCATGCCAACATTTTGAAATATAGAACAATCATTCCTCCAGGGCTCAGATAGCATGCTAACAGTCACTGGTCTGCATTTCCAAATTTTCCAGTTTTCTTCATGACTTTTCATCCAAATGGTAATCATGTAGCATTTTCTTCTCATGAGGAAGCTGAGACTTCATCGAACATTCTGAAAGTATGCTTAGTATCTATTTTTACTAACATCAATAGCACCTGTACATCACTAAGTAAAAGACAACTATGACTGCCTGTGCACACATCAGCTGAGTTGCTATTTGAGTAGTAATTTTCATGTAATAACATTCAGCCCATTCATTCAATATTAAGTTAGATTTAATCTGCAGTATTGCATAATTTGTCTGCAATTGTCAACTTAAACAGTTTCCTTAGATTTTTCAAGTATCATATAAGGTATGTTATCAGAGTAACAGATTTCTGTTCCCTCTCTGTTTCGGAAACCTGAGGTTAACATTTTTCCAATCAAACAAGAATGGCCAATTGTTTCAGATATTTAAAGCAAAAATAAAATAATTTATTGTTTTGTATATTGTAATACATAAATTATTGATCTTCATACTTTTTTATTCACCAGTTAAAACATTATATCCCTCTACAAAAAATAAAGACAGTCTCATATGTAAAAAAATAGAGTCCCATGTGTGTCTGAAACATTTCTGACTACCTCAGCAGCATTCAGGTTTCAGCCACATTTTTGTTTCTCAGTTATATCAAATTAACCAGCACTCATGCAAAATATTCATTAGTGTATATGAGATGTGATTGAATTATTAACTGTAACATATCTGAAACTGCACACACACCTCTAGTTATATGAAGAATGTCAGCCTTGCAACAGACCTTTCAAGAAAATCTGATAGCTGTTTCTTGACACTGATTACAGGTGAACAAAACTGAGTTAACGCCATTATTTTAATGTTAAGTATATAATTAATATTAAAATGAATCATCTGCTATGCCTTATCATCTCGGGACAGTTAGAAAAAGGACCATTAGTGCATATATACCTGGCCCTTTCTTAAATACCTTTGTTTTTGGGAAGATCCTGAACTACTTAAAATAACCAGGTCTGTTCAGATTGTCTAAGCAGTTTGCCATTCATGAAATTAATCATTTTCCAAAGGACTGATTTTGGCAGGATATCCCCTAGTTAACTGGCTACACATCAGCTAGTAAGCATCAGCAGAATGCTACTTCCAGGATCCACCAATGTCACTGTGTGCTGCACAGAATATAATTTTCTAAAAACAATTTTCTAAGTTTTAAAGGGTCAAGCAGTCACCACCGACATAAAAAAAATGCTTTTTCTCTTGGGAACCAAGTATGGATCTTTACAATGGTTGCCACAACTCCTACCACTGCTAGCAGAGATGTAACCTGGCAGGGAATTTCCGTAGAAATAATGTGAAAAATGAAACAAGATTCAACTATCAGCTAGGATGATGCTTCTTTTGTGTGTTTAATAACACACATAAATACCATTTAAGATTTTTTTTTACTAAATTATACTCGCCCTGTATTTAAATTAACATACATATATATATATATACACATACACACACATACATATGCATGTGTACATAAAATAGGAATGTTTTTAACCAACATTACAAAATAATCTTTAAAGTTCTGTTCATTTTTCTTAGGGCAGAAAAGATTGATTCATGTCCATGACCAATAGGTATATAAAAAAATTTAAAAAACTCCTAAGAAATCTTTCCAGGTTTGACTGCTAATCTACAAGCTAGTAACATACAAATGACAGGATTACTCAATTTGATGCCACATAAAAATTTAAGCATCTTAAATGAGTGATTTGTTAAGGAAATCATAATCAGAAAGTCTGACCCAGTTAAATCTTCTCCATAACAAAGAGAAGACTCCACTAGAAGAACCAACTTCCAAAGGCCTGCTAAGGCACCATGGTTTACTAAGAGATTTGAACACAAATCTAATCAGCATAAAGAAACATCCACATACACCTTTTCTTTCTGTACCATGCTGATAGTTTTTTTTTTTTTTTAAAAGAAAAAAAAAAAAAAGGAGTTAGACAGAAATTTAGAATACTGCAGGACAGTTGTAAAGTCTGCTGTTGCAGGAGTTAGTGAACCATAATAGAATAGCACTTGTGCCTGAAATAGTGACACCAAATACTTCATTGAGTCACAAAATGCCAAGCCCTAATAGTGGCTCACAGGGGCGCTGCTCCAGCCCCCCGAGCATCTTCGTGGCCTCCTCTGAACTCACTCAAGCAGGTCCGTATCCTTCTGCTATTGGGGGCCCCAGAGCTGGACCCAGCAGTTTTCCCCCCACCGACCCCCCCAAGACCCTCTCCACAGGGCTGCTCTCCAGCCACTCCTCGCCCACCCTGGGTTTGTGCTTGGGATTGCACCAACCCACGGGCAGGACCTTGCACTTGGCCCCGTTGAACTTCATGAGGTTTGCGCAGGCTCCTGAGCCTAGATGAGCTGATCCCTGAATATCAACCAGCTTCCTTAGGCCCCTCTTGCCTCCAGGGCTTTATCCCATGCTATTCCGCCAAGCAGATCCTTGAAGAGGCCAAAGTCTGCTCTCCTGAAGGCCAGGGTAGTGAGCTTGCTGTGTGCCCTGCTTGCTGCCCTAAGGATCTTAACCCCACCATTTCACAGTCACTGCAGCCAAGGCTGCCCTTGAGCTTCACACTCCCCACCGGCCTCTCCTTGTTGGTGAGAACAACGTCCAGCATAGCATCTCTCCTTGTCGGCTCCTCTATCACTCGGAGAAGGAAGTTATCATCAAAGCATTCCAGGAATCTCCTGGACTGCTTATGCCCGGCTGTGTTGTCCCTCCAACAGACAGCACAACGGTTGCAGTCCCCCGTGAGGACCATGACTTGTGAACTTGAGGTTGCTCCTATCTGTCTACAGAAGACCTCCTCTCCTTGGTCTTCCTGGTCAGGTGGCCTGTAGCAGATTCCCACTAGAACATCACCTGTCCCTGCCCTCCCTTTAATGCTGAGCCATAAGCTCCCGGTCAACCTCTCATCCATCCCCAGGCAGAGCTCCAAGCACTCCAGCTGGTCATTGATGCAGAGGGTGACCCCCCTCTCTGTATCCCCTGTCTGTCATTCTTAAAGGGCATATACCCCTCCATTCCAAAATTCTAGTCATATGAGCCATCCCACCACGTCTCGATGCCAATAAGATCATAGCCTTGCAGGCATGTGTGTGTCTCTAGGTCATCTTGTTTATT